TACAGGCCCCCGCTGGCGGGTTCAGGAACCTAGGGCTCAGCTGCGGAGAGGCTGTGAGGCACGCCTCACGGCCCCCCAGTGTGTGGGCCCTGGTCTGGTCAGGGCCAGCTGAGATGCTGTGAGGCACGCCCATTTAAAAGCTTTAGTTACTTTTCATACCTTTATTTTCCTTGCTTATACATATTAAAACTGTATTGATGGCTGCTGTATTGTACTGAGTGAAACTTTGGAACTGTATGCTGTAAATTCTGTAGAGACAGGATGTCTGTATGTTCAAGTAACCAGACAGCCTATTTTACATTTTAACAAAGACCTGTTGGCCTGTTTTGCACCTTCACCTAGACCTGCTTAGCATATTCCAAATTCTCCTTTGTCATGGGGTATCTTGCAGAGACAGGGGGCCTACAACCCGAGATGACCACCTGGCCCGTTTAGCATACTCACTAGGTCTTACAATAACATCACACACACAGGGGGGCCTGCAGCCCAGACCACCCGTTGTTCAGTGTTCATCGATCAAGCTGCCACCTGAGAAGCACACACACACTCACACCTGGTTTAGATCACATTTCAGCAAGCAGACGCAGGCAGGGGTTGACCTGCTCACGCCAAATGGCCAATAGGATTACGAAGTGTGAAATGTTGTACCTCTGTCCAGGGCAGGCCTAGCCCAAGAAGATAAATGTAATGAGAAAACGTAACTCATTGTTCAGAGATGGATTTCCTGTGGGAGCTCTGTCTCTCTGATCCCAGCGCTGTAAGACTTCACCTGTGCCCAGACTTTGAGTAAACTTCCTGTTGATTTTAAACAGTCCTTTTTTGTCTTCACTTCTCGCGATTTCAATAAAAGAACTTGGGTAAAATCTAACAATAGTAGTAAAGAAATGACATTCAAACACTCATCCCTAAAGATATCAGCAGAGGAAAATAAAAGAAAACTGACAAACTTCACATGTGTAACAAGACTGATCAGGTGTTAATATTAATGTTACCTGCACACATCTGGGGTGCAGCCCGATGATTCCCTTCGCCATATTTAAACCTCTGGCAGACGCTTCGCCGTTGCCGGAACATTGTCAAACATTAGCAATCCTAGCTCACTATAGCTACTGACACCGCGCCGCCTTATGTATGTGTTAATGGAATGCTACGCTGACAGTTACTGTGCGTTTTGGCTTGACTCCTTTAACACTACAAACGCTATTCCCACAACACCGCATACGTTTTTGATTCCTCTCCGCAGCTTTGCTTTTTGGACTATACTTGCCCTGTTTTTCTCAGCCTTTCAATAAAAGAACTTGGGTAAAATCTAACAATAGTAAAGAAATGACATTCAAACACTTATCACTAAAGATATCAGCAGAGGAAAATAAAAAAAAACTGACAAACTTTGCGTGTGTAACACGACTGATCAGGTATTAATATTAACGTTATCTGGGCACGTGCTTTGCATTATAAGAAATCAACACAACTTTTTGTCCCTCCAATAGAGTGTTCTCGTTTATCTTCATGGTGCCAAACCAGACACAAACACCATTAGGACCGATTATAACAATAAACTAAATTCAACCCTTGTACGTCCCATTAATATATTATAACAGCTTGATACCGAATCACATGATGGAGACCGATCTGCCCACAGATGTATTAAAGGGAAACGGTAGATTTTTCAATGTCTGTATTATGAGAATGCCATAATGTTAATACATTCAATTATTCTATTTAGAATGAAAGTAAAAATCACATGCAGTTACAAACACACCTTTCATCTAGACACGATTTTATTAGGAGATGGAAATCGCCTCAAGGCGTTTTACAAACAAACACATTTATTAGCACTTTTATTCTATTTCTGAATCTGTGTGTATGTACATGCACATGCGTGTTTGTGGATCTGTTCATGTTGCTTAAATGCCCAATGCGTGCCACAGCTTAACCGGCTCCTGTGGAGTGTTGACCAAGTCCATTCAGTGATGGAGTTGAGGGCCTCTGGTGTACATGAAGGGCCCTAACAGCAGCACTCTCAGTAGGACTGGAGGCTCTGGGAAAAAGATATATGAATGTCACTGTGTCAGTGTTTTGTATCTTATTTGCAGCAATATTAGGCCAATATTAGTGTCCTGTCCCCCCTTGAAGGTGAAGTTAATTTTATTTTCTATATAGCGGCAGATCACAACACAGAAAAAGGCATGATGAAGTTGTACCAAAGTCAGTGGCATTAACCACCAAGCTATGGATTTCAACCATTTCAGCATTTTCACGGCAATTCTTCAGCAATCAGCATCCACACACATTTTCTTCAGGAAATGCATTTGTCTAGTTTAACTGTTGTGTTTATAGAAAATATATTACATGCAGTTTTTCCTCTAACATTAACAACAATTCTTCTTGATATACATTTTTTCACACAAGAAATTAGGTTAATTTAGATATAGTACTTGTGATGTGTTTCTTAGTGGCAGTTTGAGAATTATAGTTTCATTAAGAGATATTAAGACAGACACGGTTTCAGACCAGATGCTCAAAGGTTTGCACTGAAGTGCACAGAGTGAAGAGTGGCACATAATCCAGCACATAAAGGAGCTAACTAGAATGCTCTGTACTACACTGGAATGTGCATAATCGCAGTATTTTCTGCCATGAGTGATTTTATTTTTTGCTCAGGTCCTGTTAGGTTCAGAAAGTAGCATTATGTAATTGTGGAAATTGTACAAATGTCACACAGAACTATAGGCCCAGTGTCTTATAAAAAATTGTCATCATCCTACCACCAATACCAGAATCGTGTTGGACACACCCCCTCATTTGTCTCAACTAATTTGTGATCATGTAACTGTTTCATTTTATGTCCCCGAATTGGTGGTACTGTAAAAGATGCAGCGTTTAGGATATTCACTTTGAAACAATCAAACCGTGTGTCTGGATCAGTTGAGGAAATGAACTCGGAGTGGTTCAGATCTGTTCACTGTAACCAGTTCAGACTTCACAGGAGCTAGCTCAGAGTTCAGTTCACACACAATCAAATGAACTAGTTCACATTCATAGTTCACAGTTTAAAATTATGAACTAAGTTCACAGCTCCAAAAATGAACTAGTTCATGTTCTTTACTTTTGTTTAAAATGTTTTTAAACAAGCTGCTCTGAGCAGTAGAAAATATTTTTTTAGAATCTGCTCCTACGCATCCATCCTCAGCCCCCAGTGCCTGCGTTGCCTGAATTGCTACTTGTGATAAGTGACTTATAAATATCACTATGGCTATACCTGGATATTCTTTGCCCATGAATCTCTGAAAATAGGCTGCTCTGCCAGTGAACTCTCCTCACCCGTCTCTCTCCACTTCACGGTACAGTCGTCTGCTGCAGTTCGAAAGTGCGTTTGTGATTGTGTTGCACTGTGTTAATAGGACACAGTGGTGCTGACGCAGGGATGTGATGTTCCAGCAGAAAACAAAACAAGAGAGCTTAGAATTTGCAACAGAAACTTGGAGAGGGAGCTTTGTTTTAGCGCATTGGTGTTAGAGTTGTTCTCCGGACTGAAGGAAGCCTTTGCCATTCAGTTCATTACCATGCACATTAATGAAGCTCACGCTCAGACTATTTAGTTGCAATATGATCAGTTCATCGTTCATGGAAAAATGAGTGAGTTCAATGCACAATACTGACTACAACATAGTGATAAGACGATACTGGGTATGGACTACTCTGACAAAAGATGACTTAGAAAGTAGATAGAACTCTATGGGGAAGAGTTCCAGTTTTTAAATTGAAAATTGCATTTATCTTTAACATGATGATACACCCTTGGAAAAAGCCGGCAGCCATATTTTATGTACTGCAACACTAAATTCAAGTTACATTCATTGGCAAATCATTGCCATATGTTCAGTATTCATTTGGTTGTATTTCAATCAGCCTCACAATTTCACAACAGTCCATTATTTCTCATCACTGTTATGACTAAATCACATGTGCCTTTTCTATTAGTGATTGTGCAATTATACCTTACCATGCATCAGCTATCATTTAAATCAACAATTCCATGTGGTCTTCTGTTCAAGAGCAAGAGAAGGCACAATTTATGCAAAAAGCTGTATTTAACCTTAATTGCCATAATTGATATTTTTCACTGGCAAAGGGCTAAAATTTGCAGTGCACTGTTTGAACATTAGGGTTCTGTGATATTATGCAGCAACACACTGCAAAGCAAGCCTGAAAGAGTACACTGTGATGTTACAAGCAAAAACAGTGATGTTGTTGCGTTGGTGTTTGTTGTATATTCAACATTTTCCTTATAAATATTATGGCTCCTAACAGCAGTCTGTGTGCAGCAGTGAGGTGTACAGCCAGTGGATGCAGAAGGAATCTATGAACAGGCCAAGGCTACGATTAACATGAGCAGCTTATCTGGCTAAACAGTGACATTAGTCCTTAGGGTAAATGGAGCTTGTCTAATTATATTATATAAATGCGTCCTAATGGAGCTTGGCTGGAGAGATTCTGCTTCGACTGTAAACACAATCAACAGTGAAAATGTCAGTCTCATACCTGTGGTTGTGTTAATTTGCCTCATTTTACTTAAGTAAGATGATGGCACTTGTGTTGTCAAATTAGAAGTTGTAAACATATGTGTGTGCCTGTGTGTGTGAAGGCCTTACCTTCCTTAGACAGGACTTATATATTGATAGACTGCTGAGTAATTATTGTACAGTACTCTTATAGTTTCCAGGTTCTAGCCACCTGTCAGCACAGACACCATCCATGTAAACTTTTTGGTTCTGTAAATGCATGCTGAGTCTCTCTCGTCTCTGTGTACCTGTTCCTGTGGTTGTGTAGTTGTGTGCTCACCCCTTGTAATGTATGGCTCTGCTAGAGTGTATGTGACTATAGCAATTTTAAGAATACTGCACTACCCAGGTGACTGTGTGTCAGTATGTGCACTTTTGCATTGGCCTTGTTCTGGCCTATGTGTAGAGAGCAGACAAAGTGCATTGAGAAAGCGTTAGCGGTGCTGGTGGTGGTGGGGAGGCGGGGAAGAGACGAGCTCCAGCCTGCAAGCCCCAGACGAGCTGGCTCCGGAGGGGCTGCACCCAGGCACAGAGCTGCCTTTGTCAGAGTAATTATCCTGACGCTCACCCTCTGCTTGTGGAGCTAGCAGTTAGTAGGGTGGCTAACGCTCTAGCGCCACCATTCATCACTGGGGGAAAGTTGTCATTGGAATATGGACCCAGATGATGTTTCACATATATAAAGTCATTGTATGTAAGTACTTGTGTGCTGAAGTGCATGAGAGGCATTTGCCTATTCTTACTAAACTAGATCACTGGATTGAATTTCATCTTAGTGTAAAAGGATTCTGTCCACAGTCTCTCACTCAGCCGCTGCTCCTCCAGTGCATTACCCAACCCAACACCATTACCCTGATATCAAGACTTCTAGTTCCAGTCCCAGTGACGCTGCTTGTCTGTCCTGCCTTGATAGAATCTTCCAGCTTTCAGCGGCCGCTCTGGCCCCAGGCAGTGAGCAGGAGGGACAGGCAGGCAAGAAGCGCCAGAGGAAAGAGAGGGACAGAGACAGCCCAGGTAGCTGCTAGTCCTCTCTCTGTTTGTGTGTGGGGAGGAACCCTGGGATTATCCCATGGGAGTTAAATTAAGCCTGCCCAGCTCTTTAAATGCCTTCTGTTGGCTGTAGTTGCTGTATCAAGAAGGTGGCAGCAGGCCAACAGGCTTGAATTACAGCAGGAAATTCAATAGGCTTGATGATATAGTGTTGTTTACAGTGGTAGACAAGAAGCCATCTTCGTCAGCCAGTCTGTCTGTCTCAGCTTTGCTTTTGGAGCTGCCTCCCTCACCTGCTGCTGAGGACACTGATTGTTTGCATGTGGAGAGACTCTCCCATAAGTGTCCCACGAGTTTTTTTTGGAAATAGTTTCAGTAACATCAGTTGATGCTCAAATAGCTGGTTTGTAAACAGAAAGTTGAAGTTTCATATTGTGACCAGAAAAACAATCCATCTTCAGAGACTCAAGCCAGAAGTCAAGGTTTGAATCCCCAGAGCCCCATCACGCTTTCTCTGCTTCCCTTTCTGTAAGTTTAACTCTTAAACTAAAATAGTTTTCCCTCCAACTGTCTTTCTCTAGGGCTCCAAGGCTTGTTTTCTGTGGGACATCCCTTTCTCAGCCATCTACTTCCCCTGCTATGCCCACACGAAGCTTTCCCTCGATGAGGAGGATGGAAGGATAGGCCCAGCTAAGATGCTGTTTGCTGGGGCTCTGGCAGGTAAAATACTTGGAGCCCTACTACTTTTGAAGTATAAATTGTAAAGCCCTTATGGATTTGTTATATTAGGACAGTAGTATTTCATTTTGTGACCAAGCCTCTTGTGAGACTTTGTTCAACATCTTTTAGTGTACTGTTTTGAACAGATCTAATTGATCCCTGATCCAAACTTCTTAAGAGGAACTGTCACAGTATGCAAATTGTTTCTCACATTACCATGTGCAATCATATGACATTTGTTTTTCTGCTGTTTATTTGTTTATACTATATACAGTGGCCTTATACAGTAGAGAATAACCTTTCTCTTGAAAAAATAGTATTTTGTAATATAATAATGTAATATGTGACCATTCATAATGAGCCAGAAAAGTCAGCTTCAGTTGCTGATACAGCGTACAGCACCTTGAAGTTTATAAAATAAAATCTTCGGTCAGGTCCAGTTTTGAGCAGAACGTAAGAGCAGGTTTCCCTCTGCTCTTGCCTCAGACCTCCACAGGCCTACAGTAACAGTAGCAGAGCTCAGAGCCAGGCAGCCTCTGACCGCAGGCTCCATGGCGGTAGCTGCTAATTAGAGTGCTGCTCAGTGATTGGGGACTGGGGTTTTGGAACTCTACTACAAGGAAGCATTTCGCATGCCTGCCAGCCCTGGCCGTCAGGGAAGCATTCCAATCCTAATATATTGTATATGCAATATACTGTACATGCATGCATGCAAGTAAGTGCACGAACTTACTTGTACATACTTCATACATGTTTGCACTACAAGAACACATAAAGTCCTGCCTGTATGATTTAGTTTGGCATAGCATTGAGCAAAGAGACCAGGAAGGACATTTAACATTTATGGTCTTTCTAAGGAACCTTCAGCAAAATGCATGAAAACATGATGAAACCCAAAACATGGTTTTAATATTAGATTTATCCTGAAGAGCATACTAATTACAGCCCAGCTCTCCTCTGCAAAGTTAATAAGTAAGTAAAATACTTTGTTATTGGATACTAAGATATTTGTTTTGATTCCTCAGAGATGGGTCACCAGCATGCTCTTTTTGACGTAAAAAAACGGCACAACATGGAAAAATCATAAATCCTGTCTCCCTCCTCCATTTTAACTCTGGTTTCTCACCACAAGACTGGAAGCCACAGCCGAGAAACTCCAAGCTGAAATGAGCCTTGTGATTTCTTTGTTTTTTACTACTTCAGCACATTTATTGTCCCTATTTCAAATATATTTATCAATAGTTGCAGCATCCTGGCAATTATCGTTTTACAGTTAGCATGGGAAATTGAATTACACGCCCCGTTTGTTCAGCATATGGTAGCTATGCATTACTCTGGTCTGTGAAGAACATAGTGTTGCCTGTCTCTAATTCACTAACTCATTTGCTCTTTATGTGAAAAAGAGTTATGGGGGGACTTTTATTAGCTATGGTATAAGGAATATTCATGTGCAGTGTGCTTGGGATCATTGTCATGCTGTAGACGTTCTCTCCTGCCAAGCTTCTCGAGACTGGGAGTCATCTTTTCATTCAGTGTTTGAGTATACAATCTTGTATTCATAGTGTCATCTGTATATCATCTGCACTTTTACACGCCAAATATGCCAGATCCCATCTGATGCAAATAAGTTTATTTTGGTTCCATCTGACCAAAGAATGTGCTGCCAACATTCACGTTCTTTAGCAAAATTGAATCTTGCAGTTTTGTGTGGTTTTGTCAGCAGTGGTTTTCTTCTTGGACGCCGTCCACAGAGTTGACTTCATGCAGTGTCCTTCACACTGATCAGTCACTGTAACACCAATTTCCACAGATAATCCTCATGCCGGAGCAGAACCATTTACCTGTCCAATGCAAGGCTGTGTAAACAGTGAATTCTTTTATCAGTAGTATGGTTCTTCTTGTACTTTTTAACCACTGCAGCACTGTGTTTCAGCCTAAGTTCAGTAACCTATTGATGATTTTCTATCATCTATATGAAGTCTCACACTCTGCTTTCTTATTTGTTCAGGCGACTTCTCACCATGTAGAGCCCTGTTGCATTAGACACATCCCAAGCCAGAAGTGAGAAAGCAGAGAGATCATAGGTGTACTCCCTCTTGTTTCAGTGATCACAGGTAAACTGGCTTCTGTTGCACTGGTCACAGGTGTCCTCACTTTTGTTACACTGAGGTTGTACTCTGGGGACTGTTTTCTTCAGTGCAGTCTAAGCTGTTCATTTTTAATTTTACAGTACAGACAATCAAAGACCAGACATGTCAAAATACTGTAATTGTAAGGTGGTACAATGTTGAATCTTTGAACATTTTAGTGATATTTAGTTTAGGATGTGTTCATCTAAAGACAATACCCATGACTTCCAGGAAATGTTAAATAATTGATATGATTGATTAAGAATATAACATCACACAATTCAGTGCTCCTATTTAAAAACAATTTAAAAACATTTCTACAGCAGCTCTACTTCAGATCCCTTGTTCTTAAACTTTCTCTTTTTTTTCTCTCTCTCTCTCTATTAACTATTCTCCAACACATCTCCTCAAAAACTGCAGGAAGCCTCCTCTCCCCTCACCTCCCTTCCCTTCCCCTCTCCTCAGTTCAGTGCAGGTGGTCAGTCTCCGCCGGGTGCCAGTCTGCTACCTAATGCCGAGTTGATCAGGCTTGCTGAATAGCTCGTTTGGCCGCTACAAAAACCAAGAAGTCAGAGTAAATCGTCAAGAGGGCAGTTGATGGTAATGACCAAGCCATCAATGATTGAGCCCATTCATGGCTGAAGTGGCTGGAGTGGAGGCTTTGCAGTCACTCCCTTCAGTCAGCCCATCACTTTCAGCGGCACACGGGGCACAGTGTGCATTGCTCTCATTACCGTCCATTGTCTGGCCCCTTTCAAATGGCTGTAAGAAAAGTGGGAGCGAGAGGAAAGGAAGAAAGAAGGTAGAGATTAAATAATGGCCTCGTTGGTGGTATGGATGTTTTGATGGTGAAGTGATAGGAACTGGCCCCTACATGTGTATAGTGTATGTATGTGGCAGACTTTGTGCAAGATGGTCAAGATCCAAGCTGGTGTGTTTTAAAAGAGGGAACAAAGAATGCTGAAACCACTCTATCAGATGCAGTTAGGATGATATGCAAGATTTCAGTTGATCGCTGATGACTGCTTTCTACAAATCATTTCATTTGTTTGGAGCCTATTTTAAATTTGTTCTTTATTTAGAATCAAACACATCCAACTGTTTAAAAAAAAAGCATCACACAGGTCTTGCACTCCTCTCCCCAGGCATTCCAGAGACCTCTCTGGTGACCCCAGCAGACGTGATAAAGACCAGGCTACAGGTGGTGGCACATGCTGGGCTGACCACCTACAGCAGAAGATCCTCAGAGGAGAGGGGCTCTGCGCTTTCTGGGAGGGAGCCGGAGGTACGATCGTGAGCTCAAACATCTTGTGACTATACAATGGGGACACTTTAAAGTCCTGTGTTCATCCTCCACACTTAGTTTCATTTTCCTTCTCCAGTCTCTGAATGTTGTCCTCTTTAAGCTCTGAGTAGATAAATGTTAATACTGTCATATGTTTTATTTCAATTACAAAATTAGGTTTTCAAAGCAGCAGTAAGTGCTTTGCAGATGAGTTTTTGTGCTGGGTTTCACCTCTCAGGCTACATACAGAGAAGGTTGTCCTTCAGCCTGAGAGAAGACTGAGTCCGAAGACTGAGTTGACTCTTTACTTTTCAATTAATCAGTTATTTGGAGACTTTCTACATATGAGAACAAATAAGATTTATCTGGATACACTTGCATTCCTTCTTCCTTCTCCTTTTGGCTATTTGGTGCACAATTTGAAAGATTTCAGATAAATAATAAATGTTTAGTTTTTATATTTGCTCTGTATATGTTGTAATTGGAATTTATTATTTTCCTCATTGATATTAACTACTAATATAACTACAAGAAATAGTTGACACTTACACTCTGACTTCACTGTGCTGCACCATTGTTCTCCACCTGTTCCTGCAGCTCTAGTGTTTCGGTCCACGCCTCTGTTTGGAGTGACCCCGGTGATGTATGGACTCCTGCATCTACTTTGAAGGTCAGTAAGTCTCCTCCCCTCTCACTAACTTCCCAAGCTTAGCCTGTTTTACTTTGTCACTGTTGTTACAAAATTCTAAACTTTAATTCCCCTCATCTCCCAGTGAAACAATATAAAACATTTTTTTCTTTCCTTTTTTGAAGCCAGAATCCTCCAGCTAGTTCATCCCATTATCAAACGCCATCTCCTCCCTGAACAATAGGGGTTAATTTCAACACATAGTAGTTGCTTTTTCTGTGTGTCCTCCTCCCTCTATGAGGGGGGAAAAAGAAATGCCACAAGACCAAAAATAATTTCCATTCGCATTAGCTGACAGAATGAAGCCCTCACTCCAAGCTGTAGATGTGACAATTTTCTCCAACTCGAGAGTTTTAGCGTACTGTGATCAGGGCAGACAGCACTCATTTGACTTATACATGTACTCTTCTCACTTCTGGGACTGAAATGAGCTCATTTCCTCCTCAAAATAGGTCACAGGAATAATTCACTTGTTCTCTGAAGTTAAAAAGGTCCAGTGGAAAACTGAGGTGGTGAACCTCTCAAAATGTGCTTCTTTTTAATGGACAGCTGAGATTGTGTTTGCTGATGGCTCATTACTTTTACATGTAGCTCTTCTCCCAAAAGCTCACTGTGGAACAAATCAACTGCAGACCCAGTGAATATTAACTGTACTTTGGAGTGGTTTTGTCTGTGCTTCTTTGCTGTCCAAATTGGTAGTGAATCGATGAGGGACTGATTTTAGTTCAGCTTTAAGGCTGTTCCACTTTCTAATACATTTGTTTCTGCAATGAACAGTGCTTAAGATTTAATAAAGATAAAACTGCAGTTTGTGTTCACTCACATTCTCACCTGTTTGTATAAAGCAACATTTTGCACTGTTTGTTTAACAGTTTTACTCTATCATTCCTTACCTTTCTCTTATTTTTTTCCCTACTTTATTCAGCTCTCTCACTGCACCTCTGGCTTCGTCCTTGGTCTCTTTCTTCCTCTCTCCACGCCGCAGAAAGCCAGCTGGCTCAGAGCCCACCCCCAAGTCTCGGATTAGCCTGCCGGCGCCCAATCCCAACCGCATTGGAGGCTTCAGGTTGGCCATGGCCATGTTCACTGGCATCGCAGCAGCAGCCCCTGCAAACATCTCCTGAGCTGCTCACGGTGTCAGCCACGAGTCGAGGGGTAAGTGAAAGAGAGGGCTTAAATATTTTTCACACAGTAAAATCACTGAAAAACACCAAGTCATTGTTTGTAGTATTTAAAATTACTTATTATTTATTATATGCAACCATTTCAGTTAGTCAGCCAATCAACATGGGATACTCACAGCAAATTCTTTTTATGACTCCTGCAGTATTTGTTTGACATTGTAAAGTTGACATTTTTCATTTCACCACACTTCAAATGGGACCTGCAGATATATTGTATTCACCGGCAGATCTTAAAATACACCTTAACTGCTTTATAATGTAGTATGTAAATAGTATCAGTTACTAAATACAGTTGCAGCTTTTTCCTGTCTTTCTTTTGCCACTTTATAATCAATAAACATTCCTCATACCATAAAGGTGCCTGAAAAGGGTTGATTGATCATCAGTGTGGCACCTGTATGCATGAGAAATCCAGAGATACAAAGCTAGTGTATATGGCTATTTCAGTCTTGTGTTGCTCTTTGTTGTCAGGTCTAAATTTGTGCAGATGTAAATATCTAAAGGCGAGAGCTGGCAGTGACTGTAGTTCTGTTTAAATGTCTACACTACAGAGGAGGTAGGAGTTGCATGTGGTGTGTAATAATTGTGCCTTATTGTGCGTATGGCAGCAACATGTGCACTGAGAGAAACCAGTAAACTGAAACGTTTGCTGGAGTTTTCATTCCCATTATTTGAGTGAACAGAGGAAAAAGCAAGATGTCTGTTTATCAGCTATGCTTTTAATGGTAAACATAGCAGGCTTAACAGCGAGCACTCTGCAGTACAGTATACCTCTTAGTAGTAGAATACAGTTATAGCTGTTCAGAACAAAAGACACAGTGTCATAAACACTTGAGTTTCTGATTCAGATTCAGCTTTTAACACTGACAACCACAAAGCCCCATGTGTGAAAACATCACCATATTAAGTCCATGTTTAAGCATCTGGAATAATTCAGGAATGTGTCGCATGCAGACATAATACAGAACAAAGAACTGTAACATAAAGTGAACATGACATTTAGTAAACAATACGTGACTAGACGTGACCCTGCTTTATTTTTACAGTAGTGCAAAGCATTGTTACAATACACACATCTACATAAGGCTATAAAACTGCCACTTCGTATATGTTGTAGGCTCACGAGTCGCAAGCAACACACCACCTTAAGTCATTAAACAAATAATTAAGGGTGGACTGATTCAGTAGACGTCAGCAGGTTCACCCATTAATAGACCAGTTGCATTTACAGGAGAGCAAATGCAGAAATACAGTAAAAGCGCTGCCTTGCTTGGATGAGAGAGGAACAAAGGTGGAGAAATGAAACGTAGAAGCACATGCTACAGTGATACCAACAAAAGCACACCAGGTCTCTGACTCACTCCATTCTGGTTTGGAGTCCTGTTCTATGAAGCCAGCTCCATAGGCCCCTCCTCCTCGCCATCGGCCCGGTTAGCACGAATCTCCATCAGGGTGCGGGCGAAGCGTGCCCAGTCATCAGCGTGTGCCACTGACAGCTGCAGAAATACAGGTACAAGCCATTAGGTACTAGATGGATACATCTGCGTTATTTGTATGGTACCACACCTGGTAACAGAACTCAGAACATTTTGCAGGAAGTGCTGAATAAAAATCATTAATAATTCTCCTCAAATATATTAAAACTAAAAAATAATGAGCCTGATTTGGAAATGTAAGGAGTAGAAAAGTACAGATATTTGTGTTAAGATGTAGGGAGTAAAAGTAAGAGGGAGGCGACAGTGGTGCGGTGGGTAGAGCAGTCGTCTCCCAACGAAGGTTGAAGGTTTGAATATCTGTGCCTCCAGTCCACGTGTCGAAGTGTCCTTGGGCAAGACACTGAACCCCTTCCCCCCCGTTGCCCTGATGGTTAGAGCCGTCGGATGTCGTGGCGCCACAGATGGCTGCCATCTGCCATCGGTTCTGTACCGGAAACAAATTCCTTGTATGTAACATACTTGGCCAATAAAGGTGATTATCCTTATTAAAAAGTTGTCAGAAAAATAAATAAATAGAGTAGAGATACCTGAAAAATCTACTTAAGTACAGTAACAAAGTATTTGTACTTCATTACTTCCCACCTCAGTATGGCACAGACGAATCCGCTAAACTAGGACTGACAGGCAACTCGTTGTTGGTTTTAGTTTCTGTATGGGGAGTGTTTAAAATACTGTCAATATAGAAAATGACCAGCCTTATCCTTTAATAATACCACAAAGGATAGTGATGGAAAATTAACCAGACCACTGAAAGTGACTTTAGCGCCGAGTGAAAAAAACTACATTCATTTGAATTGGGCCAGCAGTTCTGTGAGGCTGTACATCGGCCATGGATGCATTACAGAAAGTAGACACTGCAGTCAAAGATGGCACCCAGGCACTTACTGGAAAATGTCCACCTGGCATATTAGCAAAAAAAGAATGACATCACAAAAAAGTTTTCTAGGGTCTTGGAAAGCCTTACAAACCTGGATCAAAGTGGTTAAGTCATTGTCAGACCATCATTGCCATACCTTGATCCAAAAATAGAGCAAAAAAATTCTACCTGGAGTTTATTCAGAAACTGTACTGACCATGGGGCTAAGACAGGATGCCGAGCTGAACATTGTGTCGAGCTACAGTTGTGCACTGTGGGAGTCAGAGGGAGTGGGACAGAAGCCACAGTTGCCACCCAAGCTGTCTGCAACCACTTTTCATGGCCAGGCTATAATTAAGCAGGAACCAGGAGGAGGGAGGCAGCCATTTTGAGGCCCCCAACCCCCCACCGAGCTGGGCTGGCCACAGCAGGGGACCTCTGCCAGAGCATCATCTATACGGGCCCTGAATGACTTCAGCATTTGCAGCAGCTTCACAGACTATAAGAGGTTCAAATGACAGAGAAACACTTGAATTTTGTGTTGTCAGCAGTGGGTCCAAAACATTTTCATGTCATGAACAGGATTAGCCCACTGATCTGCTAGTTTTGTCCCATGGCAGAAACACTTTTGTTTTATGATTTGGACTTTCCACACAGGGCAACAACAGAGGACTAATCCAAACAGTTTCAATCCCAGTTTATAAATGACCCTCAAACTAACTAGGTCATGGCTAAGGGTCACTGTCCAGACTGCACTGCTCTGGATCCAACTGCTGGCATCTCTTTTTTTCACATGTTCTTTTTTTCACACTGTTGCCAGCTTTTGTTATGAGGGGAGTTTCTAGTGAAGTAAATGCAACCATCATCACACACACATACACAGTTTTCTGGAGTCATAAAGCCTTTCAACCCCACTCACTTTTGTTGATGACTCTTCGTTACCATAAACTCAGCATGGAGGCAACCAGCTAGGCTGAGGCTCTTTCCAACTTGCCACACAACAAAAAAAGATGCTAAAATTAGCCAAGCAGTGAGGGTAATGCACCCTCACATAGGGATTCTAACCAGAGCCCTCCAAACAGCAGACCATACAGGCACAGGCAGGATGGTTGGCCACTTTGTGGTGATGACAAAGTCATGTGGAGGCCATTTTGCAAGGATACAAAAGAGGAGGGGAAAAAAGATCAAACATACATCTATGTCAATACTGACAGTTGGGTAAACATACAGGGCTAAAAGTCCTAAAATGGTCGGTTGTGGTTCATCTGAAGGTTTTACTGTGGAAAAAAATGTACTTATTTCTACCCTTACAGTACACATCTTTGAACAGAGTCAGGACCAGTAACTCCAATTTCAGGCTCTGACATCTCTCAGTCAACTGTAGTACAATTTAATTGCAACAGTGCAGTGAACTTTGATTGTTGCAGTTCACTCATGCTTTGGCACCTTGGATGTAACAACATCCGTGAGAACTAAAGCCTCCATACATCCCAGCACTCAAAGTGAATCCAGCCACATTTTTGTAGCCAGAGCTATGAGAAACAGTTGAGTATTAAAAATTAGTCACTGTTCTGTTATCCTTAGCCAACCTGACAGCAAAGAGCACCCACTTGGCTCTTATTTCTGGATATCATGAAAGAGACTGCTTTACAGTAAATGTATTAAGCAGTTCATCTATTTTAAAAGTGCACAGGTATTATCTGTACCTCTCCAGTGTCGTAGATCCAGACTCGGCCCTCTGAGTCGCCCACAGCCACCTCCTTCCCTCCAGAAGACCAGCGGACCCTGTTGAGGGCCGATGCTCCCTGGATGTTCACACTAGCAGTTGGTACCTGGTGGGCGATTTAACAAAGATAAATATCTCAATCAAAATGCTGCAGTTGTGCACAACTTCCACATGTAGAGCAGATCACATTACATTACTGCTGTTTTGAAAACTGGGATGTTTATAAGACTGGAAAACCTACTTGGTTTTAGTCCTGTCTTTCCAGATGAACCCGTAATTTTTTGAGTATTTATAAGCAGTAACTTAACTTGGATAACGGCCAAATGTTACAACTAATGAATGCTTAATGTTGTAATTTAATACTGAACTGGTATTGCCTTACTTTGCCTCCTTAACCTACAGCACACCACACAACTTGCAACTTTTAAAATCAATGTCAGCCTTTAAGGATGCACACAATCCTTTATAAAATCCTCTAAGGCATTCATAAAAGACATGAGCCTGCCACCTGAGGTAGTGACTGTTACAACTATAGTTACGTTTTGTATATACAGTGGTGTGAAAAAGTGTTTGCCCCCTTACTGATTTCTTATCTTTTTGCATGTTTGTCACACTGTAATGTTTCAGATCGTCAAACAAATTTATATATTAGTCAAAGATAACACAAGTAAACACATCATGCAGTTTTTAAATGAAGGTTTTTATTATTAAGGGAAAACAAAATCCAAAACTATAGAGCCCTGTGTGAACAAGTGTTTGCCCCCCTGTCAAAACACTGGTTTATCGCACCTGAGTTCAATTTCTCTTGCCACACCTGTTCGCTTTCCCTTAATAATAAAAACCTTCATTTAAAAACTGCATGATGTGTTTACTTGTGTTATCTTTGACTAATATATAAATTTGTTTGACGATCTGAAAAATTACAGTGTGACAAACATGCAAAAAGATAAGAAATCAGTAAGGGGGCAAACACTTTTTCACACCACTGTAGCTGCTGTTTGACAATTTAGATTTTATTTATGGTAAGTTACAATAAAAAAAAACTCGTACCAGTTTCCTTGATATTAAATAGCTTCCATTTCTAAACAAACTCTACTGAAATAAAGAGTCCCCATTTCCTTTTATTTCTGTTTCAACTATTCTTGTAAATGTTTATTGGAAAATGGGAGCATTATGCCATTATAATCTAATTTACAAAACAAATTTACTACATAAAAAGGACAACAGTGCAAGTACTCTGAAGGTTAGACAAGCATAGCTTCTTATTCAAATGCAGACACAAGGTTATTTACTGTATACAAACTATCTGTTGCTGTTGTGGGTGAGTTAACACTCTTTTTAGTAAACAGCAGTGCTTGTATTGCACCTTTAAAAACCTAAAACATCTGCAGAATTTCCATAAACTGTTTCTGAAATGTGGCAGGCGAGTCTGATACATGTCACCGGTGGAGACACAGGCCTTGGCATCACGTGCCTCACACACTGAGTTTCTGCATATTTAAAGCAGTGCTAACCACAGACTGACTGCCATTAGCCTGCTAGCTTCCACCGCTCCGCCCGAGTGGATCTGTACTGAGCACTTTAAATTGGCTGTATGTTTGGTGGAAATGAGAACCAGGCATGTGGTGCTGTGCTGTTAATGTCATTATGACTGTGTTTTTAAATATGATGGCAACAATGGAAGTCTGCTGCTATTAGACTGACTATGTGTGAGTCAATGTGTATGCTTGGCACATCCGTTGGTGTGTATGTGTGTCAGAGCAAATGTTTCTCATAAAGCACATTGTTAGCAGAGTTAGGCCATCGATAATGAACTCTGTCAGTAAAAAGGCTGCTGTTGAGAGGACCATGAGAAACTTGTCGTCTGTGTGGAGGGAAGACCCAGCACTAGTGATGGAATTGGTGATTGAGCATGTTGGGTTAAAAACAAGTAGAAAAAAGAGATTAGATGAGACGATGGAAGTGATTGCACCCATGTAATGCTGGGTGATGAGATCTGAATTCTATGTGAACAGTATGAAGGGGCTGCCAGAAAATGAGAATAAGAGTGAAAGAGCACTGTGAGAGAGGGAGGAGAGCATCTGTAGAGATGTAGACTTGTATTAAGTTTGAAGGCACTGTGGGTGTTGTCTCCATGGAAACCAAGAGCAAGGAGAATGGAGAATCCTTTCATCCCTACTCTTACCTGAGTGATCAAAGGTTTGGTACCCACTCCCCTATCAGAGTTTCAGCAAAGTACAGTATGGTTTTCAGACTAAGCTGAAGGTATATTTTCACTCTAATGCTTTCCTATTCCTTCAAAGGAGCTTGGGTCGGTCTAAAGGTAACAAAATCTGCCTAACAGCACATGTTAAATCCTGTTTGTTTAATCTGGTTAAAAAAAAAAAGACTTTTACGAAGGGGTTTGTGAGCGACTATCTTGGCCATCTCTTGCAGTGACTTGTTATTACACTTCAGTTTTTATACAGATTAAACAAAACACAAACATGTTCATTAGTGAGCTTTAGAGGTGCTAAGAGGCAGATTCTCTTTACCTTTGAGCAGAGCCAGGCTAACTGCTACCACCTGCTTCTAGTCTTTATACTAAGATTAGCTGACTTTCATTTAATTTACAGACATAAGAGTCTTATCAGCCTTCCTCATCTGACCCACAACAATAAAGACAAATAAATGAATTTCCAACCCCTCAATGCCTGAGTATTAAATGAAGACTTCTCCAAAAATAAAGGTGTCAAATTTTGATACTTGACAATATCTATGGACACATCTTGGTGAGTATTTGGGTATTGCTCTCCTCATCTAATTCAGGTGAAGAAAGCAAATAAGTGTAGTTCCCAAAATGTCAAACTATTCTGTAAAATGACTAACAAACTGCAAAGTAACATACATGGTTTGTAGAAAATAATTCATGCATTCATCTTAAAGTAAATCTTGCTACACAGCTCTGAGAATCTCAACCTGGCATGAGCCTTTTCCTTTTATTTTCATCTCCGGCAATGGGACAGTGTACTGACAGTCAAGGCTCTCCTCGTTGTCTTCTGCATATCTGTGAAATTCACTGACAGGACAGATTGAAGGAGGGAGATGGGACAGGGTGGTGGGGTCCTGAGGCTCCCTGAATGTTGGACAGAGGTTGCAGGAATGTTAGTGGAATGGCTGAGTGGGAGCTGGGATGAGGAGTTGTCACCCTGTCTGATTTAAAGTGATGCCTGTGGGAAACGCCCACAGGTGAATCTTGACTTGTGTGTGTGTGTGTAGTGAGGGATGCTGAGGAGTCGGTGGTGGTGGAGACTGATTACAGGAAAAAGGCTTGGGTGTTTCGCTGTCTTGTTGTGGGCTGAAGCCCAGCAACAGGCCCTGAGGACACCAAGAAATCACACACATACCCTTTGACCACCAATGCACACACACATACCTCAGTATCGTTGTTGAGGTTCCACAGGTCTAAGCGGGCCATGCCATCCACGGCGGCAAACATAGCAGGGTGCACAGGTGACCACATGACATCATATACATAGTCTGCGTTGTCTTCAAAGGAGTACATAGGCTTGTTGTGCTGAAAAAAAGACAGGATATCTATGTAAGTGAATGACTGAGATGGTGTTAAGAAACACTGTAGAGAAAAAGAGTGTTAGGGTTTACAGTATAACACGAGATAGAACAAAAAGAGAGAGAGAAGGATTGGTGAGAGGGAGTGAGCGAGCTTCAGACAGAGTGGCGCTGCCTCAGCCTTGGGGCCTGTCTGGGTGCAGAGTCTAATTAAAAAGCCTAGCACATTCACACAGTGCCATAAAACCTCTGGGAGACATGAAAGGGAGGGCCCCTCAACAAGGTGTACTGTAACCTCAACACAACAGCTTTCTGAGAGAGACGGGAAGAGATGGGGAATGTGAGGAAGAGGAGGGGCGGACAATGGTTACAGAGGAAGAGCTCTGGAAATGGGATGTGGGTATGTGTGGATATAGCCCATACCAGCCCAAAAAATGTATTTATGTAGTTCTACTTGTAAATTTGTCAAGTTATGAAGACCAAAATGTCATCATAAGCAGTAGCATTTTGTATGTGCTGTGATTTTGGTGTGTCTTGGCAGCAGTCCTGTTGTGGTATATACATTGCACTAAGCGTAGTTGAGCTATTCAGAGCCTACAGAGCCTTGGTGAAGTTTGACCTCAGGCAGCATGAAGGCTACTACTTGATGATGAATATCACATTAAATGACTTTCTAAACACACGCATATAACATCAAGTCATAATCATGTTGAGACCAGTCATCCTTCAGACTGAGCTACCAGGGTTGATCAAATATACTGTCTGTAGATGTCTAGCTGCTGCTAACAGTGTGGGTAATAAAAACTGTAGTAGTTAGAAGACAGCTGTACCTACTGGCAAATAATCTACTGTAGCTCCCACAGACTCTTCCACTCCCCACACAGAGCAATAATGAGAATTCATCTTAATACAAGTATGAGTGTCTATGTGTGTGTGTCCTCATCTCTCAGACCGGCTGTTAGGATTCCAGAGGCTTACAAACTACATTCCTGACAGGTACAGTGGGAGGAGTGGAAGAGAGGAGACAGGTTGGCTGGAGGAGCAAATGAAAGAATGTAATCTCTCTCTCTCTCTCTCTCTCTCTCAGTCCTTCTCTTTTTTCTCCCTCACCTTTACTCTCACACTCCAAACAGCTGTGAAGGGCTGTGAGACCTGCAGACAGATAGACGCGCACATACATACACATGCACCCATTCACACAAACACAAACAAACACAGCCGAGCCAATTTCAAACCTCAATCGAACTCGTTTTCCAGCCGGCGAGGTGACAGCAGAGGTCATTTTCCTCCGTCTCATAGTTTCAGCATTCAATCAGCTGAGCTGCTTCTGTTTGTGTTATCTCTCTAGTTAACTCTTTTACCAAGTCACTCAACAGTGCCACAGTGATCAAATTGTAATTTTTTGTTTTATTTTCAAAATCTGACTTGCAACTGCAGTTTGAAACCACCTTTCTGAAATGGGTCCCTCCTTTACAGTAGTCCTCCACAACTCAAAGTAAGACATAATTTCGGAGATGACAAGAGATGAAGAAAGCCCTCCTTGTATTATATAGATTACTCAAAAACTACAGGGCAAGAAAGTGTAAACTACAATTTTACTGTAGTCTGTCCATAATCTGCCCATCTTAAAAAATGTGATTTGGGTAAATAATCTGCAGCAGCGAGTCTTAAAACTAATCTTAAAATGAAGCCTAATCCTTGTGGCGCCGCAAGTGAAGTAACCACTTGCCATTATCTTTTCTGAGCTGAGAAGCTGGAGAGTTTCTAGCACATTTGAACTGGAAAACCATTATTAAAACACTGGATACTCATAGTTGATGTCACAGTGCAATGTAGCTACTGTAAGGTTTGGCTACCCTTCAACATCTCTGGATGGATGCAAGTTTACTTACACTATATATCATTCTTAAGATACGGTTGCTAAAAATAGTTTTCTTATAAATTCCCAGAAGTTATAGTGAAGCTAATAAAATCCCCCTTAAATAATACAAACTACAAATTTCTGTCCAGTACTACCCTTGCTAACAATTTATTACTGGTGTCTCAAGACTAAAAATGTCACAGAGGCATCAAAACCATCGCTTCTCTGCAGCAGTCAGAGGAATAATTCGAATAATTTCACTGGTTCCATCCTGGCCTCCTCTGCATCTCACATATGATGCTAGCTTGATAGCTTCACACCAGATTTAATAACCACACACTGTGGGGACTGAGTTGTCCTCAAATTACAAAGTGTTAAGAAACGTTCCACAAGCTGTGCTGTACAAGCACACCAGCACGAAAGCCTCAACTGACTCTTACTTTCTCTCTTCCAAATATATATACATTTACATATCTACATTATATCTGAAATTCTGTCAACACTTAGTATCACCTGAACTGATGCAGGCCTTTTGATTCATTTCTTATGGGACCAAAAGTGGAATTATACTCCACTTAGCGGACGCTGGTTTTGGGGTGAAGAGAGGATGACAGTTCAAGTTATGCACAGTCACAGACCCACTCCCAGTTGTCGACGGTTTCATACTCTGGCCGACTCAAAATGCTTTCACTAGCCACAGTATTTGCACTACAGAGTGTAAAAACAACATCAGACCCCTGTATAGTGGCCTTTTTGAACTGTGAGGGCAAACGTGTGTGAATGCAAAGAGAATTCCCTGCAAATATATGTGTGTATTACAACAGTTTGTGATGGCTGTGATTGGTGGGCTGAAGGCAAACCTCGAGGGGATTTTAGGTAAGCAAAGGCAGCTTGCTTAAGGTGTACACGAGGCATGTATGGTGTATCTCTGTTTACACATGCACACACACACATGCTCAGGTATTCTGCCTGCCTACAGACAAATATGGGTTATGTGGATAAGAGACAGACACATGCATTCCAGCGGTGCCTCTCAAATTAAAGGGAATTCCCAAAACATGAAAAATCACACTCTTCTAAAGAACATCCACAGAAATCTTTTAATATGTGTCACAGGCGCCTTTGCATAAGAGTGATGGACTGACTACGTGCACACATGAGATAAAATTCATCTTTGTCTGTCACAGCCAAGTATGAAAGCTGTAATGCAATCTTACATAAAGCTGAAGGTATTTCCCAACATGCATTATATATATTCTTTGTACTGAATCCCTGAATCCTTCATCTCTTTGATTGCTCTTCCTTTCCCACTATTTCCATTCCATCTTTCTTAGATATCTTGTTCTCTTCTGTATTAACAGAATTTTCTACTCTAGCCATTTAACAGCACACTACTTCAGCTTACAGGTTATATAATCCTATTTCAATCGTATAATTACTTGAGATTTTCACATGCACAATTGGATACAGAGAAGACAACACAAACCACTGCTGTATATTTGTCAGATGAGGTGTAACAAAGTTTAAGAAGTGACAAAGACCAGCTCATATAGAAGAACAAATAAAAAAAAAAAACAAATACCAATTACAAAAGATAACTAATGTGGTTGTGTGATACTAGAAGAGAAACTAATTGTTTGAAGTGAAAACCTATTCATACACATTTTTTTTTTTCCTGAGTTTAGCCTCATTGGCATTCCTTCCTCTGAAGTTGTGTAGACATCCAACCAGTGTCTGACATACTGGCAGCACACATGTTATTAGCACCTATAAAACTATAACATCTTACTGGTACACTAGGTCCTACTGGGGGCAGCGCACAGCCTGAGAGGAAACTGCCTGACAGGCTGAATTCAGGTTCAAATAGCCAGTGTTTTAAAGCACTTTGTGCAATATGTCAAAGTAGTAATACAACAGTTTTGTCTAATGATTTGTGCAGGAGATTTACAACATTTCCATAGGACAGACACAGTGTCACTCTACTATCAGCTAATTTCACTACACACCAACAAAGTAGCACACCCAGATTATACCCCCAGCAGACACATGCATAGACACACAAGTAGTAAGAGAGACTGATTTTCCAAAAAGTTGCTCACCTACAGTATTCAACCCCCCCACCCCACACATTCTCTCTGCAGCCCCTCAGCGCTCACAATCAACCCCCCACACATCCTCTCCTCCTCTCTTACAAACACACACACACATCATACCTTGGTGCTCCACAGTTTGATGGTCCAGTCAAAAGAGGATGTGATGAAGAGGTGGGAAAAGTCAACGGCTCCCACAGCGCTGTGACAGCTGATGCCTGTCACTGGCCCCTGGTGGCCCTCAAACATCTCACAGATACCCGCCTTACTGGAAAGGGACAGCACAAGTATAACATTCAGAATTTCGACTGTCAGCACTGCAGTGTTGCGCTGGTCTCACGTGGGTAATTTTAAAGCAGTGAAGTGGTTTGCTCTTTGCGGATGATGTGGTTATGTTGGCTTCATCAGTTCAAGACCTACAATGTGCACTGGAGGGGTTTGCAGCCAAATGTGAAGCTGCGGGGATGAGAATTAGCACCTCCAAATCCGAGGCCATGGTTCTCAATTGGAAAAAGGTGAATTGTTCTCTCCGGGTTGGGGGCGAGTTGCTCCCTCAAGTGGAGGAGTTTAAGTATCTCGGGGTCTTGTTCACGTGTGAGGGAAAAATGAAATGGCAGGTGGACAGGCGGATCGGTGTGGCGTCCGCAGTAATGTGGTCTCTGTACTGGCCCGTTGTGGTGAAGAAGGAGCTGAGTCATAAGGTGAAGCTCTCAATTTGCCGGTCGATCTACGTTCCTACCCTCACCTATGGCCATGTGCTTTGGATCATGACCAAAAGAATGAGATTGCGGATACAAGCCGCAGAAAAGAGTTTCCTCTGGAGAGTGGCTGGGTGCACCATAGGGATAGGGTGCAGAGCTCAGTCACCAGTGAGAAGCACTGAGTAGAGCCGCTGCTCCTCTATGTTGAGCGGAACCAGTTGAGATGGCACAGGCACCTGTTTAGGATGCCCCCTGGACGCCTCCCTGGGGTGGTATTCCAGACATGTCCCTCCAGGAGAAGGCCTCAGGGCAGACCCAGGACACATTGGAGAGACTATGTCTCCCAGCTGGCCTGGGAACGCCTTGGGGTCCTCCTGAGGAGCTAGAGGAGGTGTGTGGGGAGAGGGAAGTCTAGGAGGCTCTGCTCGGGCTACTGCCCCTGTTGTATGTTACTCAGTATGTCACTGAGGATGCAAATGCTCAAAATAATTTTACGGCATTGTAAGGGAGCTTTAAATAAAACAAAAAAGTAACCCTTCAATTTAGGGAAAAATTTATTTTTTGCAAGCTGCCAGTGTAGTAAGATTATTTAACCAGATTCCAAAGCAATGTTTTTACTGTGTTTCTACTTTTAAGAGTGTGTGTTCACTAACCTGCCATGTCTGGATGCAGTGTACACAGTGCCCTCCTCACTCCCCACCACATAGTTGTTAACATCTCCCGTGGGGAAAGCCATGCCTGTCACCGCCACCGGTTTGGATTTATTGTACACCAGTTCCATAGTCTCCTACACATACACACACACAAGCCTCAATATGTGACTATACACACACAGTCAAGCACAAAAATGTCTTTATACAACCCCAGTTACACTTATACGAACACAAAACTCTCCATCCTAACAACTCATTCATTCTAGCACTGAGTCACAAAATGTAATTTTCCCTGAAAGACACTTTTTCAAGTTGCCAGGTTGTGTAGACTGTGATGAGTGTGTTGTGTACCTGCGGCTGGGAGAGCATGTCCAGACTCCAGGAACACATCCTGCCGTCTGTAGACACAGTGATCAGGTTGTTGGCGTTCTGGGTGCCGACCACATTCACGCAGTACACCGGGTGCTACACAAATACAGGCATTTAAAGAGGTACAGACACACAAACAGATGAGATAGGTGGAGATACACACTTGCACAATGCAACAGATATGGCAAGATATTTTTTCAATATTTCATACCTCAAGTGTAAAATAATCACAACACAAAAAAATTGCATTTTACTCTACATTATGATCACAACCATAAATCATAATTATTAGTCTCAAACCTTAGAAGCACACAATTTCTTTGCACATTCAGCATGTTGTATAATAAATATTTAGTTAACTCCTGCTGGAACATAATTATTCCTGTACTTTCATATGCTATTGTTAATAAAATGTGACTTTTAAACAATACTCTGTAACGATCATGAAAATGTACCCCTATACTTTGTGAAACAACACATGCCACAGACTTAGTCAGCTCACATGCAATGGATGAATAACACTACATTTTGGACCTGCGCTGCTGTGCAAATCCACAGGAGTGTGTGAAACCATTATGTTATTACTGGGCAGTAATTCATTTGTGTATTGGGCTGCACAAAGAATCCATTCAGCAATCAGCACCATGCTAGCTGGCCGGACTCACTGCCTGGAGAGGACGAGAGCGACAGCCTCATTATTGGAGTCCACGGCCACTTTAAACCTACAGCATGGATGGCATGTAGCTGTGTGTGTCTGCATGCCCTCTGGAGCTGTGATTATTAATGATAGTGTATACTGGTCAGTGATTTGTTGAGGGTCAGGGACTTCAATGGAGCATCTGAACTGAGCCGTCCTTTCAGTTGTGCCTAGAATATGTCTGCTCCCATCAGGTCTCTGTGTGAAGTGTGTTGTGTCTATTGTGAGAATGCTCGGTTGTCTCAAAGCTATTTGATAAGTATTTGATGGAAACACATATCAAGCTTTTATCAAATACAGTGTAATGTAAATCTTTAAAAGGTCCAAAAAACATTGTTTGCCCTCAGCCTCTTACTGAGTAAAGTGGTTCTATGTGAACATTTCTTTTGAGGAAAAGTTTTTATTTCATCAGAGATATCTTGTCTGTGCAATCAAATCTGATAAAACTAACCTACTCAGTCTTGATGAAGCAGATTATCAGTTTTGTGTGTAAAACTCTTCATATCTACAACCAGATTAACCTAACAATGTTTTATCCTTCAGCTTATTAGTCATGGATATCTAATGTTAGTGTGAAAAACTGAAGATCTGAAACCAAGGTGTCAGGAGCTTTATCTCTCCTTCGTGACACTGTCACTAAATCACTCTACAACTGTTTTTCTAACTAAAGCACATCAAGGAGCTTTTTCCACTCTATATCAGAGCGTGTATTAGCACTTAACACTAAACTGAGCTGCAACTAAGACCAGTTGAAATAACCAGTTCACCTCAGATTTCTTTTGATTAATCTGTTATTCATTTAGTCTGCTACAGTTTCTCAGTACCTATGTCATGATTCGGTTCCGCTGCTTCCTGTCCGGCTTTTATTTTGACGTTACTTCCTGTTTTTGTTTCACCTTAGTTTCGGTCTTTTTACGTTCTTAATCACTCACATTCCCTGTTGCGTTATTGTTTACACCTCTATTTAGGCAACGTCCTCCCACCAGGACGCTGCCAGATTGTTCTAGATCCCAGCTCTGACTCTCCAGCTTTCGGTTTTGGTATCTTGTGTTTCTGACCCGGACTGGTACCTTGGTATATTCGTTTCTGCTTTGCCCTCTTGTCTCGGACTGCCACAGTGTATGATATCAGACTTGCCTCTGGACTACGTATTTTGGATCACCTCTGTTGGATGTGTTTGCTGGCTCTGACCTCGGACAGTTAATAAGGACATGTGAGTTTTGTGTTTTTCATCGTGTCTTGTGTGGGTTTTTTTTTTTTTTGTTCTACGTTAGTTCTCTTAATAAAGAGACGGTTTTGTTTTACACTTCCTCATCTGGCCATTTAATTGAGTTCACCTAACACTTTTCGGCCGTATCGCGCGCCGTTTCTGACAACCTACAGTGATGTCTTTAAATTGCTTTTTTTGTCTGAATACCACAGATGAAATGAAACATACTGAGCTTGCAATTAGAGCATGGATCAGGCCACATATTTCTCTCAGAACTTGACCCATGCCTGAAAGTGTGCCATCTGAACCTGACCCATCAAGATTGTACTATATAATGTTCAAACCCAACCCATGCCTGATGCAGTTCAGTTTGTATGGTGTTTTCCCCTTATCCCCTTTAAGTCTGACCTACATGCAACCAAAGCATAATGAATGGCATCATATTGTGTTATACTATTAAATGTTTGTATCCTACTTAGAAGTAGGAGGGTTCAAATATTGTCACCATTTTTGGACACTAAAACACCACAAACTAAAAATATCAGATGTGCACTGCAACAGTAAGTTCATGTTTACTGCACACAACTAATCCCGTAAGTTATACTGTACAGTGGGAACCAGCCTTACAGTGTGTGCAGCAGCAGACAGTGGAGTCCTCTGGACAGGGGTCCGACGGTGACTTCGGTTGTCCCACAGCACAATCTGCCCTGAGTAGGTCCCTCCTACCACCAGGTTGGGATGAAACCTTGCGAAGCCGACAGACACAACTGGAGACTGAGGAGAAAGAAAATGAGTGACACAGAGGGAATGAGAGAGCAAAATCCCTTCTGGTGTGAGTATATTATTAGAAGGGTTTTTTAAAAAGAGGTATTATCGTGAATTGATAGACAGAGAATTAACTGACAGGTGAGATGAAATGTTGAGATAAAACAGCAGATGATGGGACAGCAAATTTATACCTGGCAGATATAAAAAGATATGAACTGAAAACAGTGAAGTAAAATAAAGCGTGAGTGGGAATGAGAGGTCAAGGCATCATGATGGGTGGCAGACATAGGGCAGATCTACGGAGAGGGGACATGATGAATTCGGCTAGGGTGAGGATCTGCCAAGGAGAGAGGGGTGACGCCAGGACGGACACTAAACAAAGAGAGGAATTGTAGTCCTCTTTCACAGCCGTCTCACATTACAGCATCAAAACCCCAGAAACCACTGGAGCACTCACTGCAGCCTCCATCATGACAAGCACACCCATGACCCCCCCACCCCCCCATGTTTATTGAGTTTTGGTTCCTTTTCAGTGCTTGTCCCAGCTAGGCTCTCCTGACCCAGAGCCACTGAAACATCTGTGCTGAGGAGGTATGAGAAAAGTTTTCACCATCATAGTGCTACAGGAGGGCAAGTGGTGTGATGCATTGACAAATTTATTACTCCAACCCGTACAGCAGAGCAGCACAATCATGCTGAGTTAATTTACAAGCAAGATAGGGCCATTCCTCAGCCTCCCCGGTAAAGTCTATGCCAGGGTACTGGAGAGGAGAATTCGACCGATAGTCGAACCCTGGATTCAGGAGGAACAATGCGGTTTTCGTCCTGGCCACGGAACACTGGACCAGCTCTATATCCTCTTCAGAGTGGTGGAGGGTTCATGGGAGTTTGAACAACCAGTCCACATGTGTTTCGTGGATTTGACGGAGGCCTTCGACCATGCCCCCCGCGGCG